GGGGGGCTGGGGGGAAGCTCCTGCCATGAAGCTCTGGTTCGGAACTCTGACAATTTCGGCTTTGTTTTCTGCTAGTGTGTTTGTATTGTCGTGGTGAGGGTGAAATTAAGTGGCTGCACTGTGATTCTTTTTCACATGAGTTTTTAATGTATCCACACGTGGACATACACTGGTTTATGCACGTGGCACATTAACCAATCTTTTACTGCTTGGCCCATGGCTGTTGTACTTCTAGTTGAAAACTGGTGCCAAGTTATTTAAGGATGTTAGCTAAGATGCAAAATTCAGTTTGATCGTTCTACAATTATGCTCCTTTCTCTTTCTCTCAAAACTTTTTCTAATTATTTGCCTTAGCATTTACTTAAATGAGGTATTGTGGTGTATGATGCTGTATCATTAGCAGCAAAGGATCATTTTCTTCCTTGCAAGTGAGACTGGGAATAAGATATGTGCAGCTTGAAACACTTATCTATCAATCCACTTCTGAAATCTGCATGTGAACTTTACAAATAGGGCAACAGCACAAGTACTGCTACACATTCCACTCTTAAATACATATCATCTTTATAGAAGAGAAATGTGAACACATTTGTTTGATGTTTGTGAATAGAAAACCTATGGCTGAGAAAGTGCTGCTATGCAAGTTTTTTTTGTAAGGCTGTAATACTCCAGAGGAATGTTTTAATATTCTCCTGAAAATTATTTTTTTAAAAAGTGACCACTTATAGTCAGGCTAAATGGTCTTACTAGGTGTCTGTGGAGAATTGAGACTGTTTTTCTCTGTAGTGTGTTTTGTAGATAACGAGGCAAACTTCCACCCTTTTATTACTCATTGGAATCATTTAATGGATGTAAATGAAATTTTCCAGACTTAGCTGAGATAATGTTTATGCCATCTCACCCTTTCACTACACGCTTCAGATATGAAAGAGATTTTCTTTCTGGTTATAAGCGAGCAGAACAAGACTGTCTTAGAGACATCTGCAGAAGGGCTGCGAGTTAAGCAGGATACACGTCCTGTTTTGCTTCTGGTTCTAGCAGCCAAATTACAGAGGGATTTTTGCTAAGCGCTTTCAACTTTTTTTAGGCTATGCAGGGGTTTTTTTCATAATTGTCAAGAAAATCCAAAGTTAATGCTGGTGAGAGGTGTAAGTCTTTGCATGAACATCTGTTTTCTGCCAGTGGGGATTACAGAGAATATTCCTGTGTGCTTCATTCCCATAGCAGGCTGTGTTTGTGCAAGGATGGGCCTTTGTAGGGCATGATTGTAGGTCTGTCTAGATCAGTATTTTGTCTCAAGTAATGCAGGTAGAGTTTGTCCAAGGAAAGAGGCATTTGGACATCAAAGCGTGTGCACAGTGATCTTTTCCTAGTTATAATATCTCACTGAACAATGGTGTAAAACCTTCTTGACCCAGAAGCTGCAGCAAAATAACTTTGCAGTAACTATGCATCCTCCATTAATTTATGTTTCTTTTTCTGAATGCCATTAAGCTTTTGATTTCCACAGCGTCCTGTGATAGTGTTTGTGATTCCATCCTGAATCTTTTTCTCCTAATTGATCTTGTCCGTTGTTCCTGTTTCATCAGCTGCTCAAAAGGCAACTGGCCAGGTATTTCCATTTTGAGATGGAAAGGACTGAGCAGCATATAATTCTTTTTTCCTCTTGAAAACTGTGAGAACTCAGTTTCCTGTTTCTTCTTGACAGGCTTGCCAGAAGCGTGACAATCTTAGGTTTTGAGGTGCTTCAGCTTAGTACAATCTTATTACCCAATCTGTAAATTGAGATGAGCTTGGCCTGGCTTGAGACCTATATAGGATACTATAAGTCACCTTTTGTAACCCATGAGGTAATCGTAGCCTTAAGTCTCAACTTCTGGCGAAGGATCAGGACACTTGACTGGATTAAACTTAAAGCTAGTGGATCTGAGCCAGACTTGCAACGGATGTATGTGGCTGTTCTGTTACATGTGTATGCACTGATAAAAGTCTTTCATTTTAGTTTTCCACACTTACAGTTTTCAAAACCATATTTAGCTACTAGCAAAACAGTGTTTTATACCTCTCTACATGTAACAATCTGCCACTTTCAAATGCAGCTCAGGGATTTTTATAATGCAGTTTTTTCCCCTCACTCTTGTTTCTTCAACCTTGGTGCCTTTGGCTGTGTAAGAAAGGAGGAGCCTGTTACTGCAAAAAAAAGAACTTAACTGCATTTGTCTGAAAGTGATTTGGAAACTTGTACAGCTTTATCTCAAGTTTCAAATAATCACTGCAGTCAGGAGGATCGCACGCACTTCTGGCAAGGTTTATAACCATAGAAAAAGAACAGTCTCAATACAGGTAAGATGACCTTTTTCAGCTCACGTGGTGTATAACAGGAGGCTGTACTTATATTCTCAAGTCCCTCTCTTGTACTTTAGAGACAATCAAGACTTTCTTGATCAGCAGTTCTGGTTTTCCATCTAGGAAAAATTTGCATTTATCTTGTATTAAAATACAGCTAAGCCTGCGATAGCTCCCTTTGAAGAGTACTGGCTTGTAGTACTGTTTAAACTTAGTCATGACTCTTCAAGTCAAAAAAGGAGAGTTTCATTTCCTGTCAGTATGGATGGGCTTCTGGATGAGCTGGCTGCGTGTAGTCCTTTGGTCAGCTGGCAGAGCATGCTTGGAGAAGAAAGTCAAAGATGCGAGGTGTGTTAGGGAACTTCAGGCTATTGCAGTGAGCATATTCCACTTGATATTGAGCTATGCTTTACAGATATTCTTGTGGTATAAAGCTAAAATTGCCACTTAAAAAAAGTTCATGTAGGAAAGGAGGAGTCTTGCTTTGAAGCTGTTGAAATAACTTCTGGGAAAGCTTTTTAAACTGATATTCCTGTTTCCTTCAACTTCTCAAAAGAGAAACACTTTTGTCCTGTTTTGCAAGAGAAAAATAATTAGGATACTTAAATGTTTACACAGATCTTAAGAGAAAGTGTACACTGTGCCAAGATAAATCTGTACACTGAGAAATGCTCCATTACGTACTCTGAAACTGAAGTGAATGTAGTTTTCTTTTCAGCTGCACTTAGGATTTAAAAAACAGAGATGAAAGTTGGACAGATTGACATTGAGATGTTTGGACACCTACTTGTAGAATGTTTAAAAAAAAAAAACCTGGTACTATATCATGCCAAATACACAGTGGTGACATTGGGAGACAGAGTGCTCTGCTTGTTCTGCTTGTTTCACTGATCTTTAATGCGGGTTTTGTGTGGAAACCCTGTAGTATTTGGATGGAAATGATGCACTCTATTCAGTGGAATGGAGAATACAGGTTTGTAACATAGTCATAGGCGCTGTTCCCTTTACAGAGGGGAAAACACAGTCTTTAGTGTGGTGCTTTTGATTCCCTTGGAGGAAAAAGGGACTGTAACTTCCTTTACGGAATACAGAAACATAAAGTATCAGGTTGTAAAATGTTGCCCTCAGGGTTTTAAAAAATTATTCCTCTTTTAGACCAGTATTATTTTTATTTTTTCCCCAGAAATCCTGGGTTATATTATATTTAAACAGCTTTCTGTATTTCTGTGGACAACATTTTTAAAACTAATAGGGCATGTGTATTTGGGACTTTCTTTTAATCACATTTTCTCTATGGGAGAGAGCTGTGAGGACCGCTGTTTTGGGCAGGTGGTGGTAGTACAACAGGAAAATAATGTGTTGCTTGACTGTGGAGTTTGCTTTGAGTCCAGCAAACTCAAGAAGAACCTTACTTGCCGATGCTGAGAAAGTGACATTTGTTGCACTTACTGTTCCTGTGTAGAATATCCCTGAGTGAGCTGTGCAAGTTCTAAGTTCTTCCAGTTACACTGGTAGAGCTGGAAAATAAACAACTATGTACGTATTTTAAAACTCTTGGTAAGCCCCCACAGTACTGATAAAATTGATTATCCAATGGAAAGGATGAGTCAATATGTGTGCTTAAAAAAAAATAAAAAAAATCCATGAATTTATAGTTCCTGCTCTGATATACTTTTATTTTTTTTTCCTTTAGTTCCTTGGCATAGCATTTCTTGGGATTGGACTGTGGGCATGGAATGAAAAGGTAAGTTGAATATAGTACCAAACTTCATGTTTTTCCTCTTTCTCTTTTTCTGATGAAATATTGGAATAGTAACATGCTCCACATTCTGTGTCCGCGCACAGTTTCTACTGAAACAAAATCGAGCTCTTCTGTCATATAAAACCTTGGCTTGGCTCACCTAGAGGAAGATCCTTGGCATCTTTCCTAAGAATGCCTTGGCAAGAAATCATGGCTGACACTTGCACACAGAATAACCATTTCAATCCATGCACGCTCAACCTGCTGCTCGGATGCCAGAACGCTCTACTGCGTGTGTCTGCTGTGTGTGTACCCAGCAATGGAGAGGGAGCCCCTGTGTCTCAGAGGGCACTTTACTGAAAATTAGGAAAAATCTCTTTGGCTTTGCCTTAACATAGCATGCTATTTGCCGTTCGTCTTAAGCAAACAAAACTCAAACCAAAATGAACCCTGAAAACCAAGCCAAACCTAAGACAGAGTAACTGTAGCTTTTTCTTTTACAAATAAAACTGTACTGGAACATGCTCAGTTGCAAGGCTGTAAAATTAACTTGGAAGAGAATGGAAAGAGAAAACACTTGTGAACCAGAGCCTGATTTTTAGTTTTGCTTGCTGCAGAAGTTGGGAGGAAGATAAAATATCAAGACATAACATACAAAACAAGTCAGTATGTGTTGGGTTACTGAATGAAGAGTTTGGCTCGCTAAAAGGCAATAGCTAAAATTAAATCCAGAGTTTCCTTTTATTCTTTGTTTAAAAGATTGAAAATAACGAAACCTGGCTGATAACAATGATATTCAGTTACATAACTTTTTTTTTCTTCTTTTCAATGGAAAAAAATGATTGAGTTACAAATTGATGTTCACTTAAGGCATAATAACTGGTGTTTGCAGCAGAACAAATAACACATTGGAAGCACTGGAGTTTTGCCTCTTAAAAATTCACAGCAAATTTTGCTGGTTTAGAAGTGAGTTGTTAACTTCAGATTCTATTTGCTCTGTACATGTGCCCTGGATGTAGATAGTTACAAATTGTAATGGGATATTAATGAACTTACACTGTATACACCTATATATGTGTGTATGTATATTTACATACAATATGATACTCATGTTGGATGGCTTGAATAGGCTTGGAAAGAGGTGCTATGATTTTTTTCATTCAGCAAAGATGGAAAAACATGTTCTGCTTAATACTCTGAACATATAGAACTTATACCTCTGTCCAGGCCCCAGAGAAGAACTTCATTTTGGCGTGGCTTTCTAGAAGAGATTTTAACATTTCCATATCATTTCAGTAGGTAACACAAATGATTCCTCATTAGAATGAATGAGCAGGTAAAGGGACAACAGCTCTTAGGTCTAGTGTTTGAAGTCAAAAATAGACCTGACCTACAGCTAGAGGATGCTAGAATAATGATTTGCTAGTTTTTACATATTTTCTCTATGGGAAAGCATAACCCCACCTTCTAGGAAAAATGCATACAATTCATAATTGCTAATAGCCAGCAAATCATGCTTTTATTTGAGATTTGGACATCTGTTATCAAGTAATCTTAAACCATTTGTAATCAGATTCTGAAAGTGGGAGAAAATGCCATGTTGCTTAAGACAAGCAAATAGAACCACCTACAGCAGTTTAATATGCATTAGCTTAGGCTTCATATATAGTAGGTTTTTCTACAGAGGGTAATAAATAAACTACTGTTTATTTTAAAACTGAGGTCTTTCCTTGAAAGTGTGCATCTCTCCCCAGCTTCTCTAACTGCTGTGTCCTGTGGTCCTTAGTGTGAACTGTGTCAGTTCATGGTTGTATCAATCAAAATGTGGTATAGGTGTAGCTGAACTGCAGAGCTCTGGAGCACAGACTTGATTTTTGTAGCAAGAATTATGGAAAAATGGACTTGTGTCAAGCCAATTTGAGACCTTTCTTCCACTCAGCTCTCTAGAGGACTGGCAATGGCCAGGAGCTGCAGTCAGCAAGATCAAGTTCCAGATCCTCATAGGCTCTGTGCAACTTAATGGGGGGCAGATGAGTTACATCCCAGAGTTGTTCTCGCTGCAGCTGGGGAGTTTGAGGTAAAGCTGAAGACTTGAGAGATCTGTAACTTCACTGAAAAGCATTTCTCTAGCTAGACTGTCTTGCCAAGGCTAGCCTGGTTATTCCTTAAGCACTGTAGCTGTTGTAATGCTATACTGTAAGGCAGCAAAGCAGCTTTGTGGAGGAGGACCCTGGGCGTTCTGGTGTACACAAAGCAGAATGTGAGCAAGCGCTCTGCCCTTGTGACAAAGGTGGCTAACTGTGTCCTGGGCTGTATTAGGAGTGTTGCCAGCAGGTTGAGGGAGGGGATTCTTCCCCTGCTGAGCCCACATCTGGGCCAGTTCTGGGATCCCCAGTACAGAAGAGACATGTGACGTACTGGAGAGTCCGGCAAAGGGCTGTCTAGATAATTAAGGGACTTGGAGCATCTCTCCTACAAGGAAAGGCTGAGAGACCCAGGATTGTTCAGCCTGAAGAAGAGCAGGCTTGAGGGACTCTTAATGTATACAAGTACCTAAAAGGAGAGTGCAAAGAGAATAGAGCTGGGCTGTTTTCAGTGGTACCCAGTGACAGGCAATGGGCACAAACTGAAAGACAGGAAGCTTCCTCTGAGCATCAGGAAACATGTTAATGTGGGAATGACTGAGCATTTGCACAGTTTGCCCAGAGATGATGTGAAATCTCCCTCTTTGGAGATACTCAAAAGCAGTCTGGATGTCGTTCTAGGCAACCAGATGATCTCCAGAGGTCCCTTCCAACCTCAACCATTCTGTGAAGACTGCTGCTGTACCAATGAACTAAGTCTTTATCGAAGTTGAACTTGGTGCTGCTATTGCATAATGTGTAAACATAAATTTGTAAAGGGTTTTTTGCAGGTTTGGGTCTTCAGGATGATTCCTCTACCATAAACAGATTTGGTGATGGGAAGGATCACAATTTACTTCTGTCTTGAATCATGTGGCTTTATATCCAGCTGTGTTGTTTTATAACACGGCCATTAACTTGTGTATGCGTTTGCTGCTTCACAGTATTTTTAAGATAAAAAGATAGTGTGCCAGGCCACATTAAAAATGCTGGATTTAAAGGAATAATCCACATTTTACTGGAGTCTCGTTTGCTGCTGGCTAAAAACAGTTTGGAGTAGATTTGTGGGTTTGGTGGCTAGTTTTTTCTTTTTTTTTTTTTTTTTTTTTTTTATTTGCTAAGTTGGCTTGAATTCTCCCCTTTAAACTTTGTTGTAAAGAAGAAAAAAAAGCACACTATACAGTCTTGTGACCTTCCTTACAGCCTTTGCAGGGAGGCCAAAGAGCTCATTTGTCAAATAGGCAATAGAATGGGCTTGACAGCCAGTCAGCCAGCCCTCAACAAAAACTGGGGAATTAGCATTCCGAGTCAGGGACCTGAGAGAGAGCTGGGGGCAGGGTGGGGCAGTAAACTCAGAATGAATAAGCTATCTATACATGGATGCACTGTATAGCTCACAATTTGGCAGTGTTTTCAGGCTTGCTAGACTTGGGCTTGTACCACAAAAAAGTTCATCCATGGCAGCCAGTTTCCATCCCCTCTGCCCCCAGTAGTGGCATGAACATTGTTAATGTATAAAGAGTCTGTACTAAAAAGTTTCTACTGAGCCCAAGCAGCTTATACTACCTTTGCACAGCAGCAGGGGAATAACATTTCACTGGCTTTTTTTTAACCACTTGAAGTAATTTCTTCTGTTGACTTCTAAAAAAATAAACTAGACTTGTGCAAAATGTCTGTTTCCCTCCTTGGTTGTATATAATGTGGTCTTAAGTCACATCGGGACCATTCATGGTACGATGCCAGTAGGTAGTTGGGAAAATAAGCATCCTGGTTCTCTCAGTACCTGCAGGAGATTTATATTCCAGAGTAGTGATTCGAAGAGATGAATTGCTGTTATGTCTTCTGAGGCCTTATAAGACTGCCTACGGAGAGGGAATTTTCAGAAGGAAAGCATTGTGGTTTTGGGGTATACTTTAAGTAGGAGGTAGCAAAGGTAGAGATACTGAAGTAGGGGGAAAAAAATTGCTCAGATCCTTGCAGAATTTGTTGATTAGACTTAGTTCATATGTAAGGTTGATGGAAATGAAGAAAGAGAAGTGGAAGAGGTTGATCATGTGTATAAGTTCTTGGTATCTAGCATAACTAGAAGAGACTCCAGTTGAGAAGTCAAGTTGTGTGTGGTTTGAAGTACCAGTGTGGTACCTCTGTATGCCAGCACAGTATTCTTAGCGAGCAGGAGCTCTAAATCTGGATCTCAAGTTTTAAGCTTGAGTTTTACATTTTGATAAAAGGTTACTTAGAGGCCTTTGTTGTTCTGGGATAGGCTAATCTCCTTGCATAGAAACAGTCACAATTTGTGAGACTAAGTCTGTCTCTCCTTGTCCTGAAATGAAAACTACAGTTGTTTTCAGGAAAAAGCTCTTGCTGCTTTTACTGTCCCAGTGAGTGGCAGGCATCCACTTGTCACTCCATAACTGTTGTGCATATATGTCTGTCACATAGTTCTTTTAAAAACTGCTGACAAAGAAACTGCGTGGATATCCTGCGGCTCCTTGTGAGCTGAGGAATACCCAAAACATGTATAGTGCTTCTAAGACAGGATTCTGTGTGTGGATTTTACAGGACTGGAGAGGAGAGAGAGGGATACTAATATTCACTATTAAATTTAATTTACATTTCAGTACATCATCTAAACAGGCTTTTAAATAATTTTACTAGTCTTCCAACACCTTGTAACCATTAATGCTGAAAAATGTAAAAATGTGTATTGCCAGTTACCTATTGAACTCCTTGTCATGACAAGAAAGCTGGACTAGTTCTCCTTCACTAGACAAATAAAAGTTCTGCTGCTATTGCTGTTTGCTGTGGGCAATGCATAACCAACAGAAATCAAGGAAATAAGTTTTGTAGACATCCCTTGCCTGGTTTCTTGCTTGCAGA